GGGTCGTTACCCGGGTAAGAGTTTAATAAGCGGACGGGTAACCCGGAACTAAATTTTATACCGGGCCTAATCTCTAGTTCGTATTTGCATTAGTGCAATTTGAAATTGAACCTAGGTAGAATCTGCTGTGCGGCACCTAGGTTCAATTAACTACCATATTCTTATTATTCTCTCATGAGATAGAAAGAAGCATAGAGCAAAAAATTATAGCAATTCAGATAAGCTGTTTATATAAAATCTAGAAAGTGTCTGTGTTTATAGACAAAAAACTGAAAAAATATATAAAGCAGATTTAGTATCCCTTAAACCGTTTCTCATACAATTTTACTGAAATTTTTTAAATTTCTATTTTTATTAATATTTTTCGGTATTGTTTGATTCTTCTTGATGAGACAATTCGAATAGTACCAAAATCATTAAATTCGGATTGAATTATGAGATATTTTAAAAAATAACCAAGGAAATTTCTATAGCATCACAAATAGTTTTTGCAAATATCTCATGATCTAGTGATCTGAATTTAATTATTTTGATACCATTCGAACCGTCTCATCGAGACGAATCTAATGGTACCAAAATTATTCAATTCTGATTATTAGATATCAAGATCGTTGAGTTTTTATAATTATTATTTGAATATTAATATTCTATGACCCAGTAATCGGAATGTAACGATTTTGGTACCATTCGATTCGCCTCGATGAACCAGTTCGAATGGTATCAAAATCATCAAATTTGGATCACTAGATCAAAGATATGGTATATAGATCCATGCAAATCTATACCATATTTGTTTTTTTAATAAATTATGCTAAATTTATTAGAATGCGCGTTAATTAAATACGTATAAACCTTAATATATATAATTTATAATATATATATATATGTATATATATTATGATAATGGTTAAAACTAATATTTAATTTCTTAATAAATTTTTTTATTTTATAATTTAATAAAAATATAAATTTTTACCAAAATAAATCAGAAACATTTTTTATGGTTAAATTCAGTACAAATTTGTTCTGAAATTAACCGGTTTAGGGGATAAAAATTGTGGGAAATAAATAAGGAACAAAAATTATAAGTTAGGAACCAAAAAAATTGTATACAGTAGATAAAAAGATAGATAAAAAGTAATCTAAATTTCCAATAAAATGTATATAGAAAACATACATATTTAATAATCACAAATTAGTTGAGCGTAACTGATCGTTATATCAGTAATACAGGTGTCTATCATTGAAGTTAATCTTCATACTGAAACCGTCTTTCCAATGCTCAAATAATTCATGATAGCTAACTATGAAGTTGTAAAAATCCTTATTGAGACAGCAATGCTCAAATAAGTAATCAATTTCTATAATTATATAATAACGATATTAATGAAGTTATACAGTAATAATATTTTTTATTGAAATTTTATTTATAAAAAATTTTTTTGAAAAAATAATATAATTCATTTCACGAAAATTTAACAATCTATTAATACAAAATAATTTAAAAGTTCACGTTTTGTAAAACTTGATACGCTTTATCTTTCAATTCTGGTCGCCCATCGACAACAGGTAATTTGAAATATACAGGATCGAAATCTTCTTTTCTTGCTTTTGCTTCAGCTGCCAATCGTCTTTGACGATCTTCGATTGCAATCTTTTCCTTTGTAGCTTTTGAGTAATCTCTTTGAAAAAGAGCGGCTGATACAGGTTGCCATACTCTACGTGATTCGAGTGGACCTTGGTTTGCAATTGGATTTACAATTTTCGGGATCGGAGCGAGCTCATTCAAATCTACAAGTAAATTTGTTTTCTATAAAATCGTAAAGTATATTCGATTAGTATTTAAAACAATTTAATAATCAATTTTTTAAGTTCAAAAGGTTTAATAATTATTGTATACTTTAGTGTCTAATCTTGTAGCATGCACTTTTCCACGCCAAGATCCATAAATTTCAGCAACAACATCTTTATCGTCAACG